CAGTTTACCCATCTAGTGTTCTCCCTTTCAACCCATTGATTTTCCCTCAAAAACTCCTACTCACCCTCTAGTCAGGGTTCTGATGCTTAGATCCAAACTCTGCATCAGTTCCACTGGAACTCCATCTCCTGACTGATCGTGCTGGGGGCTCTGCCTGTCTCCAGCACTCAGGACCCTGAGCTACCACCATCACCTGGGAACCCCGACCAGTTCAAGCCTCATGGAGTGGGTGAGATCCCCTCTTTCTCTCTCTCTCTGTTTTCCTTTCTACCTCAGGTATAACTTTCTAACCCTGACTTGTTTGATCAGTCATAGTTTTCCATATATGAGTTTTGTAACCTTTGATAATGTAACTGTTATGTTGGTTTAGGCTCCTTGTGTGGTTATCACTATTATTCAATAAATAACTTCTATGGTTAAGTTGGTTGCTTCTCTCTCTCTCTTGCTGAACTTTACTCGTTTGTGTTTTTAGCTTCCCCCATTCACTCTACAGCAACGCTTCTTTTACCTAAGCTAAAGATCCCTGCAGCGCCCAAAATACTGTGGGGTTTGCTCATCAAGTAGGTTACTGCCAGTACAATTTTGTTGGGGGAGTGGGGATAGGGATGTGCTGAACCTGGGGCATATGAGGGTGGCAGCTTGGAAGTGCTGCTTGACCCAGTTGTGTGTGTCTGTGTGTGTGTGAGAGAGAGAGAGAAAGAGAGAGATTCTGGGGTGTGAGTATCCCAGCCCTAGGGACCCTAGATTCCTGCAGGATAGCTTCATTGGGAGGGGACTTGCAGAAGGGAGAAGTAGCGCTCCATATGAAAACACAAGTGACACAAGCAGTACATTGATAGGATTACAGAATCCCCTTCCCCAGAAAATTAACCCAAATAAATGAGCATACCCCAAAGTAACGGGCAAACTGGTAACACTCCCCAGTGGGTGTTGGGTGAGCCTAGGGGCTGCGGCTACTCACAATGGGCCCCGCGGGTTGCGGGTGGCGTTCATCTTCATCCCCTTGATGATGAGGATGGTGCCCGCGATGATGCCGATGATGCCCACGGCCAGGCCCAGGGCGCACACCAGGGTCTCTGTGGTCTCGGGGACGGGGGTGGGCACCTGGATCTCTGGAGAGAGGGGGAGAGGGACAGGGCATGGGGTAAGGGGGGCTGTTCCCACCCTTCCCTCCAGGGCTGGGATAGAACCCAGGAGTCCTGGCTCCCAGCCCTGTGCCCAGTGGAGTCCCCGGGCGCCCCTGCCTCACCCCAGTGCTTCGTGAAGGGCTCGAGCAGCCCCCAGTGCTCCACCCGGCAGTTGTAGAAGTCGCCCTGGCTGGGGAGGAAGGGCAGGTAGGAGAACTTGCGGAAGGAGTTGTCCTGGTGGGGGTAGAAGTCGGTCTCGGAGACGCCCTCGGTCACCTCCTGCCCGTTCTTCAGCCATGTCATGCGGAGCACCGGTGGGGAGAACTTGTCCACGAAGCAGATCAGGACGTTGGGCTCCCCCAGCTCCACGGGGTCTTCGGGGAACACGGTCACCTCAGGGGGCTCTGGGGAGACAGGGGTTAGTGGGTCCCATTACCTGCCCCTGAGCCAGCCAGTCCCTGTCCTGGGGCCGGATCGGAGCCGGCGCCCCCTAGAGGGGACAGGCCCCGTGCCCCATTCCCCGCCCCCCTGAGCCAGCCAGTCCCTGGTGCTCACGCTCCAGCTCAGGGGTCTCGCCCCAGGGCTGTGGGGGCGTCACTGGGGCCGTCCCAGCTCCACGCCCTGATGGCTCATGGGGCACAAGGGGCAGGGGACAGAATCCCTCAGGGACTGAGAGGGGAGCTGAGTGCAGATGCACAGTCTCTGGTGGGGTCTGGTATTGGGCTGGGTTGGTGTGTGAGCAGGGGACGGTGGGGCAAAGACAGGAGGGGTCTCTGTATAGAAAGGTGGTGGGAGGGCTCAGGTCCCTAGGGGAGAGGGCGGGGGAGGGGTCAGCTCCCTGGCAGGGAAGGTGCCCCTCACCGTGTTGTGGCATACTATACCGTTTTG